CACGTCTCGTCACGTGACTCCACGTCAACTCTTTATTTCCCGGGCATAACAATAACCTTGAACAAATTTTTCAGAACCGAATATCACCATCCTTTAGCAGCCAATAATTCCCTCTTTCACCCAGCAAACCCACCCACCTCGTTCACCTATCTCTCATGCCCAACAAACCCACCTCACCCTTCCATCATGTCCAGCAACCTACCAGCCCAATAACCCTAAAAAGACATCATCCGCACCCAATTCACCGCGCAAAACAATCCATAGCTCCATAATCCTCAGCAAACAATCAAAATAGTTACAATCAATTCTTTTGGGCTTTTTTTTTTTAGAAAAAAGAAGGGGTGGGAAGATCTTTGTGCCCAAGATTAACAGAGGAGAAAACAACGGTGGCTGATTGAGGGAGGAGAGAGTGAATTAATATGAGTGGCCGACGAATAAAGAGGAGTGGAGGTAGTGGTAGGGTGGGAGGCGTTGGTGGGACTTGAGACGGAAGAGGATTGGTGGGATTTGAGTCGTTATAAGAAGTGTTTGGGAAGGGGAGAATGGAACGATGGCTATGGATTAGAGACGGAGAAAGAGGGAATTATTGGTTGCTAAATGTTGGCGATATTCGGTTCTGAAAAATTTGTTCAAGGTTATGAAGATGTGTTTGTTAGTGGTTTTGAGAAGTTTGCAACGGTGGAGGAAGGTGGAGATTGGACTAGACTGTGAAGAAAATAGGACGAAAAAGAGACGAAGAAGTGAAGATAAAAAGCTATCTCAAACTTCTAAGGGTGTTTCAGTCTTTTTGAGCAGTGTTGTCATTTAACAGATAAAACTTTAAGCGAATGTGATGGAAAGTGGTTGTTTGTCATTTCCAAACATTTTGGATACCAAATTGTCTTTAAGGCAAACTATGAGTAGATGCATGTTATTCACCCTATAAAGAAAATTAAAATTGACAAACTTAATTACACTCAAGTTGTATCCTTATAGTTGGTCAGTGTATCAGAATTTAAGGGACACTGCTCCGGGAGATGTATAATTTTGTTAGATAGGTGTATAAATAAGGAGATAACTCTTCTTCTTATAAGGTTTGTGGTTGATTAATTTGTTAGAACTTTTTATCATGGTGATGGAGGAAGATATTTTGAAATTTAATTGATAAACAAGAACTTTTAGCCGCTCGAGTTGATCTTTAATTTTGTTTGATCTGGTTAACCTGCACCAGAAATTTGTTGGTTATGAAGGTCAGAGTTGTCAAGTTAGTCAATGCCAGATCAGCAACTATTAGTACTATGTCGTTTTGATTAAATCTGAAAGTAGTGTTAGTCAGTTAGCTGTGCCAGCTGTAAGGGTTAGTTACTGCTGCTTCCAAAATCGGTGTACTTCTAATATAAACAAGCTATTAAGCTTAAATTAGTATCCAAGAAATGAAAAGTTCAGTTGATTCTCTGTTCTTTTTCTTTTGTTTCTCATCAGATTTATATGGTATCAAAATCACGTTTGTTTGAGATATTGATATATTAACATAAGGAAAAATGTTGAAAGTTGAATTTATCTTGCTAAGTTTTTGTGCTCACAATGTCTAGCTACATCAACATTAATCCACTGGAGACGAGATGAATTTCAGTTTTCGAACACAATAAAAATTTCTCATTTCTTGAATTTTTTGACGGGCTTGTGGGCCTTTCGCCCTTTCCTTAATTGGTTCAAAGCCTAACAAGCGACTGTGATCATGATAATAGCCTACATCCTGAGTGTTACACTCTATGTTACAAAGTTTACATTAACATTTATATTATATTTTTAACATCTAATATTACAAGTTTTATGTTTCATATCACGCAAATGTAATTCCGGTAACAATACCCTGTTGGATTTTTTGTGTTTGGACTTTGGATTCTGCTCTTGATTTGAACCTGCTAAATGTTGAGTTTGGAACTTTAATATATTGCAGTGTTCTGAATTGGAAATCAAATAATGTTTCACGAATTATTATTGAAAGAATATGATGTTGGACAAATCGAGGTCTTTGTATTCTTATAGTGCTAATAATTACCTTACTTTAATCTGCAATGACAGAGCGGCTCTTTCTCGAACAAAAAGTATATTTAATTTCAGCCGGCAGTTTATAAAATAATTAAGAAATGATTTTAATCAAGGTTTTAGCATATAACTGCAGTAAAATGAACAAAGGGATTTCAATTTTTTAGTGTTGAAGATTATAATTATATGTTTTGATTAATTTAAAAACAACTTAGATGAGGAGATTCTGTTGCCATTAATTAAACAATATACCGAGTTAAGAACATGAACTCAGCAATTTTAACAAACTGATGTATGTATGAGATTCAAAATTCTAATTTTGAGGTCAGTTGACTGGTAACGAAAACTTATTGAGAAAATTGAGCAGAAATATTTTGTTGCTCTTTTCTTCAACAAAATTTACTAGTTTTCTTTTCCCTAAAGTATTTCAAGTTACATACAACAGGAATTGGAATTGCCTGTTAGAATCGTGAGGTCATATATTCTTTGTCATAATAATTTAAACGAAGTTGCGCATCAACTGGTGGAGCAATAATTTGGTTATCTGAACTTTGATTCTCAATTATATATCATCAACTGTGAACTTTTTAAAAGGTTTGAGCGGAAGTAGGAGCAGAAGAAGCTGAGGGAAGTGGATGAAATCACTCTGTTAATCAATGACTTGGTCCTACGAGGTGTCAAGATCACTGAAAAGTCTGAAAGGCAGCACTAACCAATTACAATGTTAATCTGAACAAGATTTGCACAAAACCTGAAAAATTCCAGAATCTTACTTTTCTGCGGACTTGACTACTTCGTTTGGGTTTGTAAAATACTAACCAAGCCCGTGGTCTACCATTCCCCAGATGAACGTGGAAAAAGAACAGCCATTCATACCTTTTGGTTCTGTTAAGTACGAATTAGAACCAGATAACTAACCCAAGAAAATAATCTCATGTGTGGACTGATTCATCTTCTTTATGCACTGAAAAATTCATCTCTTAACTATTCAATATAAGACTCTTGACTACATCTGTATCGTAGTCCATGCCCTATTTTATCGCTTTGAGCTCTCATGCCCTCTCCAGTGCCCTTGTACTTTGATGTGACAAAGTGATAATTGTAGTGCATATGCATTTCCATCACGACCAGTACGTAGCTCGCACAATTGTAAGTTTATAGAGAAAATCAAAATTGACGAAACTTAATTACACTCAAGTTGTATCCTTATACTTGGTAACTGTACCATAATCCATGCAACACTGCTCCCTGAAATGCATTATTTTATTAGATATGTGTATAAAATAAATAACTAGATATCTCTTCTTCTTATAAGGTTTATAATTAATTAATCATAGTGATGGAGGAAGGTATTTTGAAATTTAATTGATAAACAAAAAAATTTAGGTGCTCGACTCAATTAATTGGTCTCTTGTTTGTTCGGTACAACTTTTGTTTCTATCTAACTTTTAAATTAAATTAAGTGAACCACAAAAATAGTTGAAGATATGTCAGATACCAAAATTATTATTCTATTCATGATCTTGTTGATTAATTGCAAAATATATGAAATGTTTTTCTTATCAATAAAGATTGACTCATAATCAAATCTTACAAATTTTCTCTCACAACCTTGACGTAGTAGTTCGTAATTGGTCAACTCACAATTGATTAGACGAAAAAATTCATCAAAACCAATTGTAAGTTGTCACATCGGAATTTTAAAAGAAAGTTTATAAGATTAGGTTATAAGTATAGTATTGTTTCAACTGTTTTTTATTGAGGAATTTTAGAGAGGATGGATTGAAGCCAATAGCTTAGACGGGTTAACCTCCAAAGCTCAACAAGCGATTGTGACCCAGAAAATTATGACAACATATACTACAGTACAAAGCCTCCATCTATTGTTGCACTTCGCTATATTTTTAACATCTTATATTCCAAGGTTTATGTTTCATACGATGGAAACCTAGCTTCGGTAACAGTACCCTGTTGGATTTTGCTCTTGATTTGGATATGCTAAATGAGTTTGGAACTTTACATGGATATATGTTGCAGTGTGTTGAATTGGAAATCAAATAATTTATTCATGAATTATAATAGAAAGACTATGATTGTCGGACAGATTGAGTCCTATTATTGTAGTGTTAATTACCTTAATTTAATCTGCAATGACAGAGGGGCTCTGCATCAAACAATATGTATTTTTAGTACCGGCCGGCCGCTTATAATATAATTAAGAATTGATTTTAAGTAAGATTTTGACATATATCAGTCAAATAAACAGGGATTCATATTTTTTAGTTTTAAAGATTTTATATGTTTTGATCAATTTAAAAAACAACTGATCAATTTCAGTAATTTTAACAAACTGATGAATGAGATACAAAATTCTGAGGACAGTTAACTGATAAAAGAACTTATTGTAAAATATTGAAAAGAAATATTTTATTGCTATTTAATTTCTTCAATACAGTTTACTATTTTTGTTTTCCCTGAAGCATTTCATAATACATACGGCATGACTTGCTAATTGCCTATTAGAATTGTGAGCTCATATTCTGAACTTTGATTCTCAATTATCATCAACTGTGCAATTTTAAAAGGTTTGATGCGGAATTATGAGCAGAAGAAGCTGATGGAAGCGGCTGAAGTCACCCTGTTAATGACTTGGTCCTAAGAGGCGTCAAGATCACAGAAAAGTCTAAAAGGGAGCACTTGCAAATTGCAGTGTTAATCTGAACAAGGTTTGCACAAAATCTGAAGGACTCCAACGCCTGACTTTTGTGCAACTCAACTACCTCAATTGGATATAGAAAATACCGAGCCCCTGGCCTACCATTCCCCATAAAATATGGAAAAACAACAGCCCCAAAACTACAAAATGGTCTTCCCTCTGGATATGTATAACAACTAATTAACATATAGGAAGTCTTCTGTATTAACTTCATCCAGAGGTTATTTATTAACCCAAAATACAAGAAGTTGCAGCCATGGGAATCCGAGGGTTGGTTTTACAACTCATAGTTTTCGGGGTTGTGTTAGCAGCTGCATCAGGAGAAGCCTATCCTATAGCCAAACCTGACTGCCAAGATAAATGCGGCGATGTCACATTACCATATCCATTCGGCACAACAGAAGAATGTTACTACGACCCAGAATTCCTCATAACTTGCAACGACACTTTTGATCCTCCAAAAGCATTTCTGACGGCAAGTGCTATAAATGTTACCAGCATAACTCTTGGAGGGAAACTGCATATCTTGCAATATATAGCTAGAGATTGTTATGCGGAATCTGGTTCACCGATTGCCGATAATAAACCCTGGCTCCGTCTGTCCAAATTCGTTATCTCTGATACCGATAACAAGTTTACCGCTGTTGGTTGCGATACAGAAGCATTCGTTAACGGTTCACAAGGAGAAAAAGATTTCAAGGTCGGTTGCCTATCGGTCTGTGATAGTATTGACTATGTATCTAATGGTTCTTGCTCTGGCGTTGGATGTTGCCAAACATCAATTCCTAAAGGACTTGATTATGTTGAATTAACTGTGAGTAGTTACGATAATCATACCAGAGTGTGGGACTTTAATCCTTGCAGCTATGCCTTCATTGTTGAAGCCAATCAGTTCAATTTTTCATCAACTTATCTTCAAGATCTAAGAAATGTGAACTCACTTCCTGTGGTTCTTGATTGGGCAATTGGAAATGAAACCTGTGAACAAGTTAAAAACAACATGACGCCTTATGCATGTCAGGGGAACAGCACTTGTATTGATGCTGAAAATGGATCTGGGTACCATTGCAAGTGCTTGGAGGGTTACGAAGGAAACCCATACCTCCCTAATGGTTGCCGAGGTACTAACATCGATGCATTATTTATATAGTTTGATATCTCTAACGAGGAAGATCTTTGAACTCAAGACTATCATTTAAGTTTGTTACATTTTTTTTTTTTTTGGTATTACCGGTGATCTCTTTCTGATGGTTTGGTTCATATATGCAGATATAGATGAATGCCAGGGCTCTAGTCTCCATGACTGCGAAAGAAGCTGTATAAACATAGAAGGCTATTTCACATGTTTGTGCCCGAAGGGGCACCATGGGGATGGAAGAAAAGATGGAGAGGGTTGCATTCCTAATCGGTCACTGGTAATTCAGGTCACTGTTGGTAAGTATATTTATAAATTTTCTGACAAGAGTACTCTTATGAGTTATCTGACTGCTATAAAATTGCATGAAAATCCTTTAATGCTCCGTGGTGGTGATTTGGGTTGAAATGAGACTTGAGATATGATATTGCCATGTTGACAATCTATGTTTACACCTGCAGTTTTGTCGAGTTGTTTGTTAAGTAACTGGTTACGGCTTGTATGCCATGTAGGGATTAGCGTAGGCCTTACAGGATTGCTAATGGGTGGGACTTGGTTGTACTGGGGATTCAATAAATGGAAGCTCATCAAACTCAAAGAGAAGTTCTTCCGCCAAAATGGAGGTTTTATGTTACAACAGCAATTATCAGGGCGGGAAGGGTCGACCACAGAAACGGCAAAAATCTTTACAGCTGAGGAACTTGAGAAGGCCACTGACAACTATGATGAAAGCAGAATTATTGGCCGTGGGGGATATGGTACAGTTTATAAAGGAACTCTATCAAATGGGAAAATTGTTGCCATCAAAAAGTCTAAATTGGTGGATCAAAGTCAAATTGAGCAATTTATTAATGAGGTGATTGTGCTCTCCCAAATCAACCACAGGAATGTGGTAAAGCTTTTAGGTTGTTGCTTGGAGACAGAGGTTCCATTGCTTGTTTATGAATTTGTTAACAATGGAACCCTCTTTGAACACATCCATACCAAAAGTAAAGTTTCACCACTTCCATGGGAAACCCGTTTGAGGATAGCTGCAGAAACTGCTGGAGTGCTGTCGTATTTGCACTCTTCAGCTTCTATACCTATCATCCATAGAGATATCAAGTCCACAAATATTCTATTAGACGATCATTATACTGCCAAAGTGGCCGATTTTGGTGCTTCGAGGTTGGTTCCTTTGGATCAAGAAGGATTATCTACAATAGTCCAAGGTACTCTTGGATATTTAGATCCTGAATACTTGCACACAAGCCAACTGACCGAGAAAAGCGATGTATATAGCTTTGGAGTTGTCCTTATTGAACTACTTACTGGCAAGAAGGCACTTTCCTTTGACAGGCCTGAGAATGAAAGGAATCTTGCTATGCATTTCGTTTCTGCTCTGAAAGAAGAACGCTTGGCAGAAGTTCTTGATGAATGTGTCTTAAACAAGGCAAATCCACAGCAACTTAACGAAGCTGGTAGCCTTGCAACACGGTGTGTGAGAGTTAAAGGGGAGGAAAGACCCACAATGAAGGAAGTAGCTATGGAACTAGAGGGACTGAGAATAATGGTCCAGCATCCATGGGTAAATGATGAGTTGAATCTGGAGGAGACAGAGTACTTGCTTGGTGAATCACTTGACGCCGTTGATTATAGGGGAAGTACAAATATGAATGCCGGATATGATAGCATGAGGAACCAAGAAATTGTGCCCGTACATGACGGTAGATGATTGTTCTGTGAGTTATGATACAGCTCTGTTACTGAATTCTTTTTATTTACTACCAGCCCCAGAAGTGGATGTTTCAGTGTTTTAAATTGCAATTCACATATTTTTTTATGAACCATTATTGTAATGTTATGATGTTTCACAAAACCCAGTCTTGCATTCTTATGAGCGGCCAAGCGATTAAATAAAAATGTACTTAGCCTGATTCTTGCGTATTAACAGAGTGCTGGGTTGTGATAAAACTGATACCAAATATGCCAATTTAAGCATTTTGTAATTGGCTTTAGGATGAGACCTTAAATGTGCCATGTGTAAGTTAAGAAGAAGCATGACCTCATGGACCGATTACTAAGTGATCCATTTGTTTGGTAGTTCTTAATTTTCTTATTTTGAGGCCAAAAATGGACTCTAGCTCGAGCCGCTACTCATTCGCTTTTAACAACTGAACTCAAGTATAGGATGTGAAGTATTTAAGATCCTGTGGACTTAGCCTTATAAGAAGTTGTTATTATCGAGCGGATATGTATCTTATTATCTTTGTTTTTTCTCTGCGATTAGTGGCTGGTGTCTGGCAAGGGAATTTTCTTATGATGTAATCGATGTTGTAGAGGTACTGCTGGACAAACTGTTCTGTCTTGTTTTTCTTATTACCTCGGATGTCACTGGACTTTATTGTTGTTCTTAACCCCATGGAAAAGAAATCACTAAGAACTTACTGCTTACCATAGAAAGATTTCAAATTAATAACTGCACAGAAAAGAAGTAAGATACTTCTGCAATTCACAGAATTGGGTTTACATTAGCAGAAGCAGAAGCCGCTGCAGAACAACCAACTCCTATAGCCAAACGTGGACATGTTAGCATCCCATATCCACTGGGCACAATGGATGTGTTAACAATGAAGGGAATTATACTTATACGATAAGGATTGTTGATAGGAATCGTGTTAACAATGAAGGGAACTATACATGGAAGAAAACCTCCATTTTGCTGGAAGAACTTTTCTTTACGTATGATGAGCTTTCTTTTCTTCAACACCAAGTACAGCCAAGAGATACTCACAAGCAGAGCCACAAAGCTTATGCCAACACCTATTTGTAAAAGCATTTCAAACTTTCAATTCCGATATGCATTATATATATAACAAAATGAAATAATAAGCACTAAATAAAAAGTAAGTTACTATAAAATTACACCTAAATATTTCCAGTACAAATTGCCTAGGTGATAGCAAACACCCGCTTAACAGAGGCACCAAACTGAATTTTCGGTCAAAATTTATACCTTGTAAATTGAAACATATGCTTATCTCTAAACAAAATTGAGAAACTTTATTAAATGAAAACTTTGTTATAAATTTAACCCAATTTAACCTAAATGAATACCAATAGAAACTAATTAATTAGTTTAATCTACCAATCTAAACTAAAATTGATGCAGCGGAAAAACACTCAAAGATCTAATTAAGTGTCTTGAAAAACATACAACCACAGAGCAAAGAGAAATTCTAAGTGAGGAATTTAATCTATTGATGAGAATGGGTTAACTGGAGCCCCAATCCTCAATTCCTCACTCTGCCTCACACTCTTTAACTCTAAACCTTATGTTATTCGCTAGGGTTGAAAAATACATTTATGTAGTTGCTAGGATATTCCCATCTTGCCTTTTTCTTTTGGCGTTCAAAAAACCTTAAAACGAGGATCTTTTCGTTACTTGATGCGCTACAGCGAAAAAATATTCGCTATAGCAAATCTGGAAATTAGCCAAATCCTTTTGAACCCATCTTTCCAACTCTGCAGCCAGCTAATCCCTTCCAAATGTAATTCAATTCCTCCGCAATCCCGATTACTTCTAGTGGCATGTGAACCGCACTTGTCACAAACTTAAGTGACACATTTTTGAAAGAAATATATATAAACAAGCATAACCATCTCTGTGTTATGTAGAGCAGAAGCACAAATCCTTATCAACTGCAGGTTCACAAACTCATTATGGGGTGCAATACGATAATAATATAATATACTCACAAAAAGCCGCCTTAATCACTGGAAATTGTTTGGGTACATCGGGTATACAACGTTGTCCATCTTTTCCTCCATTCAACATGTGGTACCCCTTGTTGCAATCGCATGTATAATCCCCTTCATTGTTAACACATATACGATAAATGCGGAAATGTAAGCATCCCACATCCATTGGGCACAATCGAAGATTGTTGATAAGAATCACCTCAACAACTCAAACAATTGGGCTGAGTCATGAGCCTTTTATGAGTTTGGATAGGACTCTTCTTGGAAAAGACTTACCAAGGGAGAGTATCCAATCTTTATCCCTTGGGTGCTAATGCGGATCCCCTTTCCCTTGGACCTCTGTGCCCTTTCTCGGGGTAGCAGCCCAAGCCCAAGGTCAACTTGTCACATAGGCGATGTCCACATAAACGCAAGATTATGCTTTGATACCAATTGATAAGAACCCATCCCAATAACTCGAACAATTGGGCTAAGTCATGAGTCTTTTATGGGCTTGGATAAAATTCTCCTTGGAAAACCGGTTTACCAAGGAAGGGTGTCCAAGCTCTTATAAACCACATGCCCACCTTTTTTTCCTCTCAATGTGGAATCCTAATAATTGTTTCAACAGTCGGTACTTAAACCTTATTGCAACGATACTTATTCTAATCCTCCAAAAGCATTCTGGAGGATAGTAGCATAAATGTCACGAATATTTAAGGAAAGTTTCATATCTTGCAATATATGGCCCAAGATAGTTATAAAGAGTCTGGTGAAAGAGTTTCCAATAACAAACCCTATCTCACACTGCCCACATTCATTATCTCTGATACTGACAAGAAGTTCACGGTTGTTACTGTCTACATTCATTGTTATAAAATTGTTATAATGTGTACTTCGGCATTTTCATTGGTCATCTTCGTAGTGGCTGGACCTTTGGATACTTGTGTCTTGCAATTGTAATAGTACCTTAAAATAGTTAAAAGTACTATTACTAGTTCGAAATGCTTTTTACATAGGATGACCCAGTGAACCTAAGAGAATTATGCTAGAATTATATGCCGATCTTGGGTGGAATTCATGTCAGAATTCCTACATGTGGTATCTGAGTATTGTATATTAGATTATAGCCTATAGGATTTGGATTTGTGGGATTGAAATTTGGGTTTGGCTTAATTTTGAAATTTGGGTTTGGCTTAATTTTGAATTTGGGAAAAGTTGCAATTTAGGGTTGATAATCCAAATTCCAGAGTTTTGGGATTAAATCAGATTGCCGAATTGAACCCAACAATTTCCCGTCCCATTATCTCACATTTAGCAAGTCATTCTAGATCAGATAACTACTTTTTAAAATGACCACTTTTTTCTTCTTCATATCCTCCGGATGGCCATTTTATGCTTATTAATACGACAAACTAAATTGACCTTTGACTAGACAACTACTTTTTAAAAAGTGGTATTAAATTTTAATCAATTTAAACCTCCATGCATAAAAGGCGATATTAAATTTAAATCAATCTTATAAATCAAGGTAATCTATGGTTGTAGTACCTAACTATAAATCAATATATGAATACCATGTGATAATTACCACACAATTAGAGGTGGAAAAGTAATCCGTCCGGCCCGACCCATAGCGGGTTACAAAGTTTGGCAGGCCGGACCTAACCCGCTCGCCAACAAAGGCAGGCCGGGTTAGGCCCACCATTTTGGAGAAAATGGCTGGCCCAGCCCGGCCCGCCAACCCTAACCCGCCGGGTTAGCCCCTTTTTCTTTTTTTTTTTTCTTTTTTTTAATTTTTTTTTGTTTTTTTATTTAACTTTTCAAATAAATAATTATAAATATAATTGTTTTTAGTTAACTTTTCAAATATCAATAATTCAATTCAATTCAATTTTTTTTTTTTTTTTGTTAACATTTCAAATATTAATTCAATTTTAATACAATAAAATTGTAATACAAGAACAATTAGACTTATTCATTTATCAAAAAATAAAATAAGAAATTACAACAATTATTGCCTCGTTAAAAACTTTACCAAGAAAAACCCAATGGGAGAAAAACTTGGTAAAGAAAAAAGAGTATAATAATTGACAATTAATTTACAAATTACATTTTACAAAACAACTAATTTGGGGGTGGTTCACTAGGACCTCCCTCATCTGTATCATCTATATTACAAAATTGAAATGATTCTATTAAAGTATTGTCGATAACCTCGTATTGATCTTGATGGCGTGATCGTTCCCAATCTCGAAGACATGTGAGGACTTCAATCATTTTTGGAGCAAGTTTAGTCCTCCTTTCATTTAAAATCCTTCCACTTGTATTAAATGTTTGTTTGGATGAGACGGTTGAGACAGGAACAGCGAAAACATCCAAGGCAAGTCTTGATAATACCGAAAAAAATACATTTTCTGGCTCTCCAATACTCTAAGATATCAAAGTGATTTGCTGGAAACATTTTGGGGGTTGCCAAATATTGTTGAAATTCATTACTCTGCGACTCCATGGAGGACAGTATATTAGTTGTTGTTGTTGTTGTTGTTGGTGGTGGTGCTTCTGAAGAGGAGGTTGTGCTTCAGATTCGGGTCCTCTTCGGCTTATTCAGTGCATTCCAAGAGTATAAGTCTTCATTTGTTTGTTCTTCCGATACAGCTTCTCTGGATATTTCGCCTCTTTGCGATTGCGGGTTCCCATACCTGTTTTCATATTGGAAATATACTTCGAAAAGACTAGTTTTTACCTCTCCTATTTGATTGACATATCATTCAGTTTGTAAATTTTCACTTAAACTGTCAAAACCATTTTCTAAACGTGCTAATTTAATTCTAGGATCAAATATAGCACCTAAACAATAATGAAAAGGAATGGGTTTCCAATATTTCAAAATTTTTTTTGCCATTGCCTTTATTGGTGCATGTAAAATTTCATTGTCTTTGTTTTTTGTAAATAACTCGGAAATTTTTATAATTGCATGTATTACCAATGAAC